ACGTATGTTTCGTCACCGTGTGTATAGTTGTCCTCCGTGAAACGAATCTGCGGGATAGGCTGGACACGCGATTCCGTGTTGCAGAACGACAACAGCCCCGTCACCTCTTAACTTGCTCACTACTTGGATCGTGTACTTCATCAAGGTGTGCAAGCAACACGCTGCGAAACGAAAGCGTCCCTCATTGGTACATATGATGGGACTTCAGCGTGCTGGTCGTCTCTCACCTAGATCGAAGATGGGTGCGAAATGGCTGGCGAAAGTGAAGAAAGGTCAAGTTAGACCAAAGGACAGTGTTACCTTATCCGTAGTACACTTGAGTCCTCTCGGAAGTCAATTGTCCTTCAATAGCGCAACAAGAATCGAGAGCGTCGTTGACTGGGACTCGATCCGTAAGAAATATTTGGCTTTAGCCGGGAATGAGCCTGAAAAAGAAGCCGACAAGGATGAGAAGGCCGAGGGCGACGAGAATGAGAATGAGAACGCACCGATGGCTTCTAATTCTTCTACGGTACCAACGACTACGACGCCACCTATCTAAAGGAAGTTGCTTCTTCGCCTCGGAAAAATACAGAAGTTTGATCCATCATTACCGATTTGATAAATTCACCAAGTGCGACGCCATATATGAATTCTCGTCGCGCTAATACCGCATCGAAAATAGCTGCGACATCGAAATATTCTAGGTAACATCTCGTAGTTGGACTTATAGCGTCCCTCGAAGGCAGATCGTCTATTCGCGAGATATAATCGAGCTGCTATCGTTTCGGAATTTACGTAAGTAGCCCCGCGAATACGAAATAGAGAAGTACGACTATCATATCGTGCTATAAACGTTTGACCCAGCATGGCTATCCCATTTTTGGACTGCACTAGAACTTCCCTTGGTTCCCTCCTACGATAGGATCTCTAAATGGTTGCCCTTCCAAGGCAGCCCTGATCCTTACAAACGCATTCCTTACTTTAACATCTGACTTAGCGTTTATCCATAGTGACACTAACTTGAAAACTTCGAGGGCAACAAAAACACGCATGTACTTACACGCATACATATATACGCAACATGTACGTACATATAGACAGATTGGAGAACACCGAGGTGTTCATCGGTATACAGAGTTTTCACGAGACATATCGTTCCCACGTATTTCCAGTCAGGATGAGTCCCGTATTGGCCGTTGAGTTATTGTTCTTCGCCATCTTCGGTCAGACGACCCACGAACAATTCAAGGTCGAAATAATGCAGCCCGAATGGACCAAAGTTCTCTTCAAGCTCACCTTCGGTATTTATATGCTGGTTTCGGTGGTTGTGCTGATTAATCTACTAATTGCCATGATGAGTGACACTTACCAACGGATACAAGCTCAGTCCGACATCGAATGGAAATACGGATTGAGTAAGCTCGTTAGAAATATGCACAGGTAAGGATTTCTAATCGTTGTTCACCGCGAAAAATCTCGAGCTCTCCTGTAGCGTACCCTTGAAAAATCGAAATCGAGATAGAGCCGGTATCGATTGTCGATACGATAGCGAACGTTGCATGCGCGCGCGCAATTCGAACGTGGCATGTTCGTTCGACGCTCGTTACGTTTACCTCCATCAGTCGCGGAAATTCTAATTGATTAGACACGTTTATCGATGCGCAGGACAAGCACAGCGCCCTCGCCGCTGAATCTTCTTACCACCTGGATGGCATATTTGTTCAAACTCTGCAAAAAGCGCGCTGCAAATAAACAGCGACCCTCCCTCGTCCGCTTGATGGGATTGCAAAGAACCGATGCGCTTTCGGCGCGTTCCAGAATGGGCGCAAAGTGGTTGTCCAAAGTGAAAAAGTCTCAGGTGGCTCACAAGGACAGCGTTGCCTTATCGGTTGTTCATCTAAGTCCTCTTGGTAGTCAATTATCGTTTAATAATGCTGTCAGGATCGATAACGTTGTCGATTGGGAAGCGGTCCGACGAAAGTACCGTGATCTTTATGGTGAAAAGATCGGAAAACATACCGAGGAAACGAAAGAATCTGCGGAAACTACAGACCCCCTGCCGGCAGTTTTGGAAAGTTCATTGGTCGGTGTTCCCATCGGAAACCAAACTGCACCTACTTCTGTTCCTTGAATCGACCACTTTTTACCGTATATATTAATTAAAAACTAGGCCTCACTGGGTCTGGGATCGCTTCTGATATTTTGGATAGTAAAACGCAGTTATTGTTTTTAATATAGACATGTATTGTCTCGTGTCGTACAATTTTTTTTTTTTTTATTGAAATAAACATCCAAATTGACTGAATCATTTTGTGATTCCACTATTATTCGCGGACCTTTTACCCTTTCTCTCATCGATGCAACGATTACCGTTTCGATCATGTTTTAGAGAACACTACCAAGGGAATGATGCTGTATAGCAACAATGCATAGGAACTTGACATACCTTTCATGGTTAGTCTTTATGTGTATGGCCACTCGTTTTGTTTTGCTCTTTAATCGCCGCACTAATGAACTGACGAACTGATAAACTGATCCTACTGCGGTAACAGAGTATTATTATTGTGTGCATGCGCGCATGTTTATCACGATGCTTAAGATTTAACAGAATCAAATGCGTATTTGCAAAATTCAATCGTATCGCGAAATCGGTGCATCGACCGTCTGCCGTTCGATTAACTACCAGTTGATCATAACACATCATTTTCATCGATTAAAATATCATTCGCACGAGATACGTCTTGAAATCGACACAACGAGTGAACAATTATGTCTACATCATTCAAAACATTCGAAATTCGTTCAAGATCATCCATATCTCCTTTTCCAATACGATAATTATTCCTATCCTCCTTGTTTCTTTTCATCTCCATCGCATGTTTCGTAATTCATATTGTACATATCCCTTTCTTTCAATCAATGCGTTAAATTTAACGATCGGAGCGCAACGATTAAAATACTAATTCTCGCATAATCAATCATATAACTGTAGACTCATATATACAACAGTGATCTTTGCGTTCCTCCGAGAATACATTTGACAATTTTAGACGCTTAATTACATTCTTTCAGTGAAAGTGAGTCCCATCGATATTACGGAAAATCTTTTCTTCGCTATTTTTGGCCAGAAGGATACAGATGACTTCACGATATCGTTAAAACGAAAGATGCAACCAAAATGGACGATATATTTCTTTAAGGTCAGTCCAATACTCACGGCTATTTGACATGAACAATTTATGTCTCGACAATTAACGATCAATACTCTCATATTCTGACAGATATCCTTCTCTCTGTACATGTTGGTTAGTGTCATTGTATTGATCAATCTATTGATCGCGATGATGACCGACACGTACCAAAGTATTCAGTCACAAAGCGATATTGAGTGGAAGTATGGACTCAGCAAACTAATTCGTAAAATGCAAAAGTAAGTAACCCATAAAAAATATTTATATTTTAAGGACAAACAGCTTCCAGTGTAAGTAAAAACGGAAATATTTATATAACTAATGCAACAAAATACTTTATTGTATATATAACAAAAGTCGAATCACCTACCCTTTTTAAGAACACGTACTGCACCTTCGCCGTTGAATTTAGTTACTTCTTGGATTCCGTATATTGGAAAAGCGTGCAAAACTCGAAACCGCAAACGTAAAACTGGTGTAATGCGCTTATTTGCAGGACATTCATTTATTCAGGTATGCCAATGATGGATAGCAAATAAATGAGGCATATCAACAAGTATTCTCTTTCCGTTTAGGACAATGGAATATTATCTCAAGAACGCGACCTCATTCACTTTCCATTACTTCGATCGAGTCCAATGGGAAGTCAATTGTCTTTAAAGGATTCAATAAGAATCGAAAATGTTGTCGAGTGGGATCTCGTAAGACGAAAATATAGAGTACGATTTGGCAACGAAACTGAGAAACCTCTTTCAGAAGACTGGTCTATGACTAATATGAATCTTTAAATACCTTTATATATAGTTTGCTAATACTTATATGTATCTTAAATTCATAATTTTCTCACAAATGAAATCTTTGTACCTTCTATTTCATAATCCTTTTATGTTCTTACTCGATAATAAATTCTGAATACAAAGAAAAACATTCATATACAAATAATAATAAAAAAAATATATAAATTATTCTAAAAATTCCCTGATAATATAAAAATATATAATTACTTTTGGATAAGTATATGATATTAATGTATAAGATATTAATTTATATAACACTATATTAATCAAAGAAATATTTAGATTCTAATAATTAGGTTTGCTAAGGTATGTTATTTCTCTACCGTATCTCTGATGTGTTGTAACGATGAGGCCGAAAACTGCGGCTTGTTCGCGAATAAATTTATCTTCTTCTGGTGTTAAACATTCAGGAAGTGGTTGTCTCAAGATTTGATTATCTTGAGAAAAAGCTTCACACATCTCATATACAACTTTTTCAAAAGAAGAAAGATGTTCCTTTCCTTTCCTCTCGGACTTTAAGCAACTCCCATAAAATCGTTTCTCTATTTCTAAGTATTTTCTTTGTTTTTCATTTATCTAAAAGTAATGAATAACATAAAATGTTTTTAGAAACAATATACACTTTTTGATCATTTTGACTTACAAGTTTAATTTCTTTAACAGTCTCCTTATTTTTAGGTTCCATCTTCAAAGCAATCTGTAATTTTTCCATTGCTCTAGAATACTCTCCCATTCTGCCTAATGCCCGCCCATAACTACAAAATAAATGCAAAATGAATTTTTACAAATATATTTAGATAGGTATTTTTTGAAACTTATCCTAGTACAACATACTTGAAATAAGTTTTAGCTGTAGGTATAGGAACTTTATTGCATGCATTGCAAACGCGACGTGGCATATTTTCCATATTGTAACAAACTGCAAGATTGTTGTAACCTCTTGAAAGTAACGTTTTCGCTTTATCTTCTTCTTCTTGGTTGTTTAGTTCTGCTTCTTCTAACAAATAAAGTGCTTTTGAATATCTGAAAAACACAATACCTGCAATACTAATATATATGTATATATATATGCTGTATTAAAACATACATACTCTCTTATAGCCTGCTTAATTTTCTTCTTATTAAAGCAATATTTGGCAGTATTAAATTTAGCTTCTATACTTTTAACAACATTTGAAAGCTTTTTTCTTTCTTCTAATGATAAGAGTTTGAAACTATCAATAGATCCATTGTCCACATAATCAACTAAATGTACAATGAATAAGATTTCTTCATTTGGAGGAACACGTGGAGGACAACCATATTTTCCATATGCTAAATCTGGATGTATAATAAAAATAGCTATTTCATGCTTTTGCATTGATGCTATAGCAATCTCTAAACCTGGTATCAACATGCCCTGGTTGAGATAAAAAGTTTCTGCTTCTCCACGAATAAAACTAGAATCAAATGGTTCATCTCTGTATTCAAAATGACCTACATATTTAATAGTAACTTGTGCATCATGTGGTACAACATTTCCAACACCTTTTTGTTTAATTAATTTCATAACCTATGAAAAATGTTAGTAAAAAATTTGCTTCGTTTCCTAAAAAATCAAAAATACATTTACACAGATAGGGAATACAATTTACTTTTCCATTTCCAAAAATATCAGTCATTTTAGTTTTTAATTTTTCAAAACTGATGCCACAAATTGTAACTGGGTTTGTAGTATCATTGTCATCATTATAATCATCTTCATCTTGAAAATCATCCATATTTAGAAGATTTAATGCTTCCTCATTAGTTAAAGGTAAATCTTCAGAATAACCAAATTCATCATCATCAAGGTTATCATAATTGTTATCGGTTTCAAATACAAGACCATCTTTTAATGTTAAATCACTAAAACATATTTTATCAAAAATTTTATAGTAAAATATTGGATATTTAATAATGATTACAAAATTATTAGAAAATCAATTTATGGTTATATACCTGAGACTAAATCCATCCATTGCATTTATGAACTTTGCCATTTTAGTAATTTATATAAATTTATATAACTATTGAACCCTAACCTTAACTATTATTTCCAGCAAAGTATATTGTAAACTCACTAACAATTATATAATTGTTAAGTTATCAATAAAATAAATTCAACTATATATTTTTCCTGTACCGCGTTAAGTGCTACAACTTCACGAAACAAAAGATTCTCCCCACTACTACTTAACGGTTGTGTACATTCAAATTATGTTCATAATAAGTAATCATACGCAGAAGCAATAAAATAAAAAATATATGAAAATAGTTTGCTCCTGATATTACTAAACAGGAGATAAATATTATATCATAAATAAATAAAAATATTGTTCCATCATGAATAATCGAAGATTTCTAGACATTGATGATACAATATTAACAAAAAATTTAATGTTACCTGTAAGTAAAAATGATAATTAGGTAAACTTCATGTTAAAATTGATATATATAATATATAAATTTTTTACTTTCCTAGGAAAATACATCGAATAGTAACAATTTAACGAAACAATCTGATACAAAACCTTTCTTTCTTATTCAACCTACACCTGGTAATTTTTGTTAATATTTTTAAAATTATTTCATTAAATATGCCATTTTTATATGTATATTCTAGGTATATGTGTAAAAACAAGAACTGATAGTGGAGAAAAAGTATTTTTAAACATATGTACATCTGATAAAATACCTCCACCTGATGATATACCCGATGCAAAACTTCTTGAAATAATTTTAAATGAAAAAAATTCAGAATTTGTTATACTTATGAGTATTGGAAATGAAAGATTTGAATTTGATAAAGGTAAATTTTATAATAGAATTATACCAAAAAAATAACAATGATATGATATATAAACATAATAGGTGGATCTCCTTGTGCAACATATGACATTGTAATTAATACAACATATTTTAAAAAATGTCAAGAAAACAAACACTTTTTACTATTCACAATATTAGTTATACTAGATGGAGTATCCAACAAATTTAACAAAACATTAAAGGATTATGTAATTCTTAAAAATCGAAAGGTATGTTTCTTTCATCATTCAACATAAGTGAGATGAAATTAACTATGGACTTCAACTGCATATCATTCAGGTAATGGGAAAATTACAACAACACAAAATAGAAAACCGTGAACCACAAATTCATATGCAAATTCCAAAACCATTAATCGAGGAAATTAATACTCCTAATAAAAGCAATTATAAAGAACAAAATAAAGTCAGTGAATTCAAAAATATTTCTTCAGAAAGTGATGTTAATCCAAAATTGAATTATGTACTACTGAAACAACTTTTGAAAGGAATGTCTATACACTTAATTGGTATATTTCAAATACCTAAAGGGGTAAGATAATTATGATCTTATTTTTATTAAATGGTGTATATAAATGTATATGTCTTTATTTAGTACAGATTACTAGTAAAGAGATAGAAGTACTTCTTAATGAAGATCGTATTGTAATTACTATTGATAAAACTGGTCTTACATATGACTTATTAGTTCCATATACCATAAATGTAACACTAGCAAAATGTGCTCTAGATAACAATCGTAAGGTAAGAATGTCAGCTTCAACTATGCTTTATTATAACTATGTTTCATTATTAATATTATAGTAACATACAATTTATTTCTACAGATATTAAGGTTAGATATGCCTGTGGAAAATACTTTAAATATCCAAACAAGTTAATTTAATTAATTATTTTATTGTAAAGAAAAACATTGTAACATTTACTTATATTCCAAAAAAGTTAAAATACCAACTTCCTTATTAATTATTTCAATCTACTTACCAACAAAATTAACATTTTAATGTATACGAATAATACAATTGGAGCTAGATTAACAAATATGGAACAAGATTCGTATTTTTAGTACATATAATATTACGAAATAACTAACCAATACATCGTAATAGCAATGTATATGAGTGATGAATGTATTTATACAAAAACAGTATCACAAACACTAATCTTGGAATGCTTTGTACAATGATTATAATTTCATTTTATGACACACTGTATGGAAAGAAATACTTAAGAAATGTATCAGTTTCATAATGATAAACAATTCTTTATATTTCTGTGTAAAATGTTGGTCGCTCAATTCCAATCATAGTAAACACATTTGGCAAGAAATATACTGTATTTACACCTATCATAAAACAAGTCACATATTTGTAGACTAGATCAACAAGAACCTTACTTTTATTTTCTGAGTAATTTTGACATTTCGTAAAGTCCTTAGGATTAATCTTTAACATGGCACACATTGATCCATAACTGAGGAATTTGCAAACAACTCTTGTCACAAGAATGCTACAAAATCCCAATATTGTTCTAAGTATCATGCAGCCAAACATTGAATAAGATGGCCATATAATGTGATATGGTGGTGATTTTGTAGGAGTTATCATAGCTTCTGTATTATAGTTAAGCCATGCTCCTAAATGAACACCTGTGGTAACAGATACCACCATAGTAGTGTCACCCCTACAATGAAAGAAAACATCATAGCAATTAAATTGATATATTTATAAAATATAAGTTCATTGTGTTTCTTACCTAGTTGGTGTCCACTTTTTGCTGCATGGATAATAAACTATGACACCTATACTAATGGCAATTAAAATTGCTAAAGCCCAGATATTTGAAAGGATATAATAATCTGTGATATCCACTAAAGGTATCAATGGAATCATTAATGCAATGGCTAACATTAAGCCAGCTAGGATATCTAACACTGTATGCATACCCAAATAGAGTCTACTCATACACACAAGTGTACACCTTTCAAAAAAAATAAAGATAACTGTATTCAAAATATTTTGTACATTTTAACCTTACTATTATTAAATAATAATATGTTATTTACCATATAGTAGCAATTATCCAACCCACAGAAACAGGATAAATATATCTATTCATTGTATATAATACTACACTGAATGGAATCGAAATACCAATCATTGCATGAGTAGATGGCATTCCATATTCTTCAGACCATTTTATTTGCAATCGAACTGCTGGAGGACATGCAGGTCTTGCCCAGCATAAAATATCTTTTAATATTTGACCTATATACATATTTACATAATACAACTGTTATGTTTGAACATAAAATTTAACAATCTCTATGAAGCAATAACATACCTGTTGTCATAACAATAGCCCATACTAGAACAACTCTCCTACCTACTGCACCATCAATATTCCAAAACCAAAAAGGTATAAATGTAGAGTAAAATATTTCATCTCCTAATTTTGTTCCAAATAAAAATAAATAATACCAAAAATAATTTGTTATAGTATAATTCGAATTAAAAATGGTTGGTGGTTTTTCTTGTTTGTCAATTGTACACACATTTGTCTTTGCCACCCTAATAGACTTTTTCTCTGTTGTAATATAACCATTTTCTTTCAGTTCTTCAGATTTTAATAAGGAACTATTCGAATTACATTTAATACTCCACGAATCAGTACCATGAGTTTCCGAACATAAATTTTCCTTACAATGTTCTTTCAGAGTTTGCGAAAAATGTATTTTGACACCAAAACATTTTTGTATTTTTGCCACTAACGACGCATCTTTTAAATATTCTACAATTTCTGACCACATAATTTCTACGTGTAACGTACAAATTTCATCGTAGAAATAATATTTTACTTCACAACTCAGTGGACTAGGACTGAATACATAAGCGCAACACTGAATTTACAAAATTATATAAATTATGATCTGATTTACAAAAAAAATTGATGAAATGCAAATGTTTTAACACAAATTTACCGCAAAAATGTTAATTAATTTATCAAATACTTATCAAACAATTTATAAGAAATTAAATTTTAAACAAATTTTTACGTAACATGTAAAAAGTTAAAAAAGAGATACTTGTATTGTTTAAACGTTTTCAAATAATTATAAAATTAAAAACATTCATATGTATCACCTTAAAATATAACACTTTGTACCGCGTTCAAAGCACATCATTGTACGTATACATATTCCATAAAACATATATAGTTATAGAAGAGATGCTGCAGTTTAGATTCAGTATATTAAGGTAAATCAACAACTATAATTTGAAAGGTTATTCTACAATGAAACCAATATCTACGTTTCGATTGAAAGATATACTAAGCTCGGTATAAAGATATATTAATATATTTAATTGTTAAAAGCAAAAAAATATAAATTATGTATAACCTCTTAAAAAAAGGACCTAATAAAAAAGGTATTGATTTCTGTTTTTTTTTTTTTTTTCTTTCTTTTTTATTCATTTTTTATTCAGTAACCTATCCTTCACCCTGATTGTACGGTCCTATATACAATAAGAAAACTTATAAAATAAAATACACCCTTCCCTCATATTCTATAGTATATGAAATATACAAAGAGTAATGCTATTCAAATATGCAATAAAAAAACTTTTCGCATATTTATTATTTTTTTTATCAATACGAAATATATTTCACGTAATAATTGAAACATATTCGTAAAATAAACATTTATCACAGAAACATTTCAATTCGAAATTTCATCGTCCATTGTAGTTAATTTACGATTGGAACATTTGTCCAATAAGAGCGAAACTTTTAACAGCTAAAGAAACATCAGAAATATCCGAATTCGAATGAATATGTAAATCCGATGTATTGACATTATTTATATTAGCAATATTCTGAGAATTTATTTTCTGAATATTGTCGATGTATGTTTTACTATTTTGTGTATTCATTGCATTGGTATTATTCAAATATACCTGTGGTAAAACTGTGATGATAGGGGTTACGCTCGGTGAAGAAGTTTCAGATTCACTGTAGGTTTGCATATTTTGTGCTGAGTTAGATTGATAGCTGTTATATTGCGCTTTACACTTTTTTTCATGGACAAATAAACTACCAGAATGGCTATATGCAGTACCACAGATCTTACAAGCATATGGTTTTTCTCCTGTATGTGTAAATTTGTGTTCTTTTAAGTACTTCAATCTTCTAAATGATTTACCACAAGTTTTACAATGATAATTTGCTTCCCCAGTATGCGTTGTAATGTGTGCTTTAAGTGTACATGACTTGGCAAAAGCAGCACTACAGAAATGACAAACAAATGGTCTATCACCAGTATGGGTCCTTTCATGATTAATACAGTTTGAATTCGATGTGAATCCTCTTCCACAATATTTACAAACATGAGGCTTATACCCTGTATGTGTCCTCATATGGAACATGAGACCTGTATTTTGCCTAAAGGTCTTGCTACATATGTGACACAGAAACCTTTTAAAATTTACATCTTGTTGTTCTTTAGCACGCTCATGAATTCTTATATGTTTCTGTAATTTAACTTCCTTTTCAAAAGATTTATTACATTCATCGCATTGATATGGTTTTAATCTTTCATTTAACTTGTGTTGGTCTTTCTCCTTTTCATTACAGGTACACATTTTACCACATGTCACACAGTTTTCTTCTTCTGCATTATGCATACTCAATTGATGTTTTAACAAAGACTTTTTTGTATCATATGATTTTCCACAAATTTTACAAGGGAAGCCCTTTTCTTCATTATCTGAATCAAGCTCCTCTCTAATCCAACTATTTATTAATTTTATAGCTGATTTATCATCAAATGGTTTTTGTACTTCTAAGGATGCTGAATCTTCATTGTGCCCGTATCGATTTTTATGGCTATTTAATCTATCTTGACGGAAAAATTTCATGTTACATACATTGCAAATAAATTTCTTTTCAACATGCATTTGTAAATGCTTTTGTAGTGACTTTTCGCTCGCATAACGCTTCGTACAATAGTTACATCGATAAAGTGTTTCGTGGTCAGAAGAATCAATATTTTCATTAGCAACATCTGATGATGATGATAAATTAAAATTGAACCTTTTGTCTTTAGATTCTAATGTTTTTTTTTTGTGGATATTTAAGGTAATACTTTCATTAGTTGTAAATTCTTTTCCCATATCTTTTTTATCTTTACTGTTTTCAACTTGAGTGGGTTTTTCTTTTAATTCAATTGTATTTTCTAATTTTCTTTTGTCCCTAATTTCTTTTAGAATGGAAAGAACTTCTTTTGGGTTAGTTCTCTTATGAACATTTAAATGTCTTACCATAGTATCAGTTTTTCTAAAATTTCTATTACATATTTTACATAATACTGGTTTAGGTTTGTCTTTTATTATGTGCAGTTTGCTATGCTGTAACAATTTATCAAGTTGAAAAAAGTGTTTATTACATTTGTCACATATAAATTTCTTTTCGTTATGTGTTAATACATGTCTATCCAAAGATCTTTTACTAGAATAGCATCTAGAACATTTTGGACAAACATAAGAATTTTGAGAATCTGTTTTTTTAATATCTGTTGCATTGTCATCCCATTTAACAGTTGTATTCTTTTTTATGTACTGCCTTTGTCTTTCTTTGTGGTTTTTTAAATTTTCTATAGATGTTACTCTTTTAAACATTGTTATTCTTCTTGTTCGATAAACTTCTCTCCCTGTAACATTTTTCTCATATTCTGTTTGTTTACATTTAATATGAGCATTCTGTTTATTTAAGTTACTATTAGGTTCTTCATCTTCTACATACTTAGATTCATTAATTACTTTATGATCTTTTATATCTTTAGTATCAGAATTATGAATTATCATTGAATAAGGATTATAACCCATTGCAGAAAAAGTTTCAGTTTCAATTTTGATTAAATCAGAAGTAAAGGAATAATCAGTTTGACAATATTGATCCTAGTAACGAAAGAAATAATTATAATTGTATAAGCATGTTCTTCATTTACATATCTATAAATACTTACTTTTGTAATCTTACAAAAGTTGATATTATATGTCTTTTCCACTTTACCATATAATTTCTTTAATCGAAGATCAGATTGCTGACACTGCTTTCTTAATTCATGAGCATCATTGATCTTTAATATACATTTCATGCAAATAGTTGTAGGTAAACCATCATTTTCCAGTATCTATTCAGTAAAAGTAACATTATCAAAAATATAAGAAAGCAACATTGTGGAAAAAGAAAATCATGGAAATTAAACTGACCTCCACACCACTGCATAAACGAAATTTCTCAGACAAATCAATTGTATCTTTGTTAATCGAATCACATCGTTTAACACCGAAAATACATTGGTTATTTTGATTTGTTGAGAGACAAATACGGCAAATATTACCACAATCATTTGATGAAATTGTTGTTTTATTTTCGCTTTCCATTAGATCTTAGTTAAACTAAACGTTTAACTACAAATATATTTACATTCAAATTCTTTATAATCGTCAATATGAGATCATAATTTATATATAATGCAGTAGCATTTGCTATTACATACACGTTATTTCTTTTTTTTCGCGAAAGTCTATCAATGTCTCTGGTAGAGTTTCTATGACAGTTATAAAAATTCAGAGTAGTCTAAAACATAATCAGCTTTTTGAAACAATGATCTCTCATCATTGTTGTTATTATTGTTTATTGTAATATATAGTTTAAATTCATCTTTAAAAACAAATTAAAATATTAATGAATCAGAGAAAATACAAATACAACAGTAGTCTGTTTATTTCACTTGTTCGTGACATAAAGCAGGCATAACGGGATGGTAAATACACAAATAGCGATCTGAGACGTTAAAGCATTTAAAAGGAAACGATTTGACAGTTTAAAGGAGAACCGTAATAATTTTTTGATATTATACGGATAGGAGAATGGCAAATTTATCAGTAAAAAGAAGTTATGAAGATGATAATGGTGGTACATCAAATGCAAAAGAGAGAAAAGAACTTGGCATTAATCGGTACTTAACCTATGACGTTATAAGAATTATATTTAAATATTTGAATGGAATGGAACTATCGAACGCTTCAATGGTTTGCAGGTGTGATCACGTTTAACATTTTCATTAAACTTTTGTAGTCTAAATGGAAGAAAAATTCAATGTTCATTATTTCATCCAAAAAAGACTACTTACTCAAGAAAAATAAACACACAGAAGTAGGCCTTTATTTCTTAAGTTTTAACGTATATTATGAGGTTTTCTTGTCTTGTTTATAGTAATTTCATCAAATGCACTAATTGGAAGTGCTTTATATTCCAGATCATGGTTGGAAATGGCAAATGATGAAAAACGAACTAGGATAGGTCCTGTCTGTTTCACAGAAAATTTAAAAAGGGGTATACAACATTTTAATATAAAAATTATTGAAAAATTACGAATAAGACCAACATTTGGATTAATTTTTAAAGCTCCGTGTAGAGGATATAATAGAAACGGTATTTATTATTTGAATTGTAAAATAAACATTTTAATGAAATACATATGATACTTTGTTTCTACTAATTATATTTGGTTTTATTAAGTTTGTAAATGTAAAATTCTTCCGAGAAATTGTGATGCTGTAGTGCTAGCTACATTTGGTATACTTATCAATAATAATGAAATGGAAAATGCTTTAGACAATGTGGTATGTGCATTTTTACCTGAAATACCTAATGTGATGATCAAAGTGATTAAAGTTCCTGCTCCTATAGGAGATAGGGCACAGTATTATATAAGAATAAAAACAAATCTAGATAGTCATAATGCTAATGGATCTAAATGTTTTTTAATACTTACTAATCAGCAAGGTCGTACTACAGGACAAGCAGTTGCAGATGTAATAAAATTATGGTAAACATTTAAATTTTGTAATATTTAATATTATAGTTTACTACAATAATATAACGCTGCTTTTACATTTAGTGACAAAACAGTTAAACCTTCTGTGTGGGGAGGAGTAGTCAAGGATTTATCTATATATGAGTTAAACAACACTACCAATTATAAAGGTTGTCATTTTGCATCTTGTGTTGTAATTATTATAGCTGGATCGGTAGATTCATGGTCTATAGTTGTGGATGAAAGTTGTGATACTAAGGAACTAGTTGAACAGAAATTAAAATCATTCAAGAATCATATTCGATTAAGAAAACATTCCATAGGCTATATGTTTGCGTGTTGTGAACGCGGAAAATATATGTTTAATGAATACAATGTGGAATCATCTATTTTCAAAAAATTATTTCCAACAGTACCATTAGTAGGTTGTTTCGGTGACGGAGAATTTGGCGCAACTACGATACCAAACAGTAAATATCTTTTATTATAATAATAAATGTTATTATGAGAACGCAAATATGCATTGTATTAAACATTGTTTCAGAAAATTTTAATGATAACAGCGACACTTTATATTACGAGAGATCATCTGTCTTTTTAATAGTTACATATGGTTGAAATTCATAAAATTCAGTTGAATTTATAACAATCAAATCAGAACGATTAATTAAAATAATATTTCTGAATTTAAACGTATATTATATATGTATAAAATATATAGCATATATGTATAAAATATACGTATATTACACTAACGGTGTACGTTGCATTACTGACTGTAGTATAAAAAGTCAATAATTGTAACTTAATCATGAAAAAACGAGTTATGTAACAATGTACGTTAATATATTTTATGTTCGAATAAATCTTTTTATGTTGATTCTTTCTTTCTTTCTTTATTTATTTATTTAAAAAAAAAAATGACTATCTAAATGACGAAATTTAAAAATGATTATCAGTATGGAGAACAACAGCCCTGTTTAATATCATGTATGCGGTACTGTTTCAACGAGATATGAAAATAGCATATCCGTCGGTTAATTGGGCAAAAACCTGCACCTCTTTGAATACAATTACAATGTTTAAAGCATTGTCAAGCTACACTTGACAGTATTTCCGCACATATGATACCGGAATAAAGATAAAATAAAGGAAACTGGGCCATGTGAGGGTTTGTTAATGTTTGATATGATATTGTCAGGGTTTATAAGAAGGTTCTACCTTGTAGTTTTCACCATACAATTGAGTTGAGAAATAAGATTTATAAATATTGGTGTATTAAAATCTTCACCGCGTGAGTTTTCGTACAGTTGCTTTTAGTATTATTTTCAATTTTTCTACTAGACGACCTTTAAAAGTGAAAATAATGATTATAATACATTTATTGACATATTTTGTAGTCGTGTTCATTGTTTTATTTAATTGTACGATTTGCCAATCATGGGATAGTGGTTTGCATCGAAAGTATGATGGATATGGAGAAGATTGGATTTTTATGCCCGATGGAGATGATCAACCGCAAGTTGCGGTATTAAAATATACGGAAAGTGATGAACGAGGAATTTTTGATGAATCGCAAGTTTCGTATATCCTTTATACTCGGTATTCAACAGTTCACAATTTATATATTTTCAAAAATATACTTTACAATACGTTTGTAACGAAAATATATTTTAAGATCTAGCCCCCAAAATGGTACTCACTTATATACGAATGATACTAACGGACTTCAAAACTCTAATTTTAATCCCTCTCGACAAACCAAATTGATAACACATGGATGGAAATCAAGTGCAATGAGTGCTGGCCTTCTCAACATAAAAGAAGGTATTCCAATTTTGGAAATTTAAAAATATGTTTCTAGGAAACCTGTATGTTTTATGACGTTATAATTATGCAGAATACTTAAAACATAATGACTACAATGTTATTATGGTTGATTGGCAACCTTTGGCTGCAAGTACGTTTTATCTTGGACCAATGCGTAATACAGAAAGAGTAGGAAGAACAACTGCTGAGTTTATCAATTTCTTAGTCGCAGAAACGGGCCTTAAAACCAAAAATATTCATTTTCTTGGTATGCATCATTATTAATTTGAATTAGAGTTATAATTATTTCAGATTTTCTATATTATTACTATTTTACAAAGGCCATTCTCTTGGAGCGCACGTAGCTGGTAACACCGGAAGTTCGATATCTTCTGGTCTTTTGGGAAGAATAACTGGTTTAGATCCTGCTTTGCCTGGATTTCATTTGCTTACATCTGATAAAACGCGTTTGGATCCTACAGATGCGATATTTGTCGATATCATTCATTCTTGTGGTGGTATTTTAGGCTATTTGCAACCTTTAGGTAGCGCAGATTTTTATCCAAATGCTGGAACAGCTATTCAACCAGGTTGCTGTTGCATTCCAGAAGTGATAGGTAATATGTTATTTATATACCTTGTGTGTGTGTATGTTTATATGTTTATATATGCTTTTTTTCCTGTAGAGGCATGTAGCCATGGTCGGGCAAGTATATATTTTACTGAAAGTATTGGCTCTCAAACTGGATTTGTGGCAAGTAAGTGTGATACCTGGGATCAATTTTTACAAGGAAGTTGCAATGATTCTGAAGCTACATTGATGGGAGAATATGTGGATCGAACAGCAAAAGGAACTTATTTCCTTAGAACAAGATCTAATCCCCCATATGCCATTCAAACAGAAATAGTTGATAATGCGATTTAAATTAAAAAAATATTTAATGTTTTGAAATAGACAACAAGCAAATCTGATTACAGAATAAAATTCATGTTTAATAAAAATAACTTATTAGTAAGAAAAAAATATCTCATTTTAATAAATAATAATTACACTATTTAACATTTCAAATACAACAAACTATTTATGTTTTGTCAATTTCAAAATATTTGTTTTAAACATTCATATTTTATCTTACCTACAAAATACGCCTTCATTCGATGTAACTAATATTTGCCGACAACTTCGGGAATGACTTAAAGATATTAAATTGGTTTGTATAATAAAGTTGTAACATATTTTTTACGATAACGATGCGTTGCTGACAGAACCATTACACTATCTTTAATACTTAAAGCATACAGATGATTTAACATAACATGATTTGGTTCTGGTAAAAGTGTAGGTTCACACTGAAATTGATAACAGTAAAAACTATATTACAGAATTGTGTAATAGATTAAAATGTTTATCAATATTTTTCTATACACTTACAGATAGGGGAGTATCTTTATTTAGAATAACTTGAAGTAAATGTGGTGGCAATATTGGTGGACCAGCTACTTTTTCCCAAGGTTTATGGGGTGGAATTTCTTGTCCATACTCTGTCTGAGCACTACTAGTAACACCTTCACTATCTTTTGCAAGTGCTTGGAAAACTTCAAAATCAGATTTTCTTACAGATACTAAATTGTTCTTAGAACCCATACCATTATCGACAATTTTCTGTTAACAGAATGTTTTAACTAAAGCACACAAAAATCAAAAAATATTTTAACATTGTATAGAGCTAATAAAATAATTTCTTACTATATCTGGATCATGTCTCCATTCACCGTCAACAAAAAATTTATACTGGTGTTCTCCCTCTGGCAAGTCAATAATTGTTACAAAATCACCATGACTTTTTACCATTGGTAAAGTTTTCCATCCAGTAAAAGTTCCACTAATATAAACCTGTTTTCCACCTCCTTCCCATTTAAAAACAGTTGGTAGTACTTTGCTATCTGTTACTTTGGTTCCTTCAGACACTGTATTGGAACGTGGACGTTGAGAACTAAAGTCTTCACCATCTTGCTGAGTGCCAGTCTATTAATAAATGGAATAAAATAAATTTATAAATAGAATTATTAATCTTTTTTCAAATAACTCTTTTCTAATGATTTTATAATAAATGTTTAATAATACCTTAGCAAAATAAGGTTCCTCTTCCTCGTGCGATGATTGAAAAACTAATTTTTGATTTATCTTTTTATCAAAAATGAAAGCTTGACCCTCTTTTCCTGGTGAAGGTGGAGGGTATTCTTTGGCATGACGATGTTCTCTGGTTGTATTACTAGTGTGGTGATGTCCAACTGGTTGATTACTCCCAGCATTACCCATTGTCACACTATGACACTTATCTCAAAGAAAACTAAGGACATGATTGAAATATTTATTGCTCTGATACAAATTATCGAGTATGTATGTAGGTAAATCCAATTTTTACCTTCTTTTTGAATTCCTTCTTTTGTTTACAAGAATTTAAGAATTCGAAGAAATTTTGTTTCGTTTAATTAAAATGACAATCAAATCTTAAATTAATATTCCTGTTAATTATTTTGTTTTCATTAATATTTTCTAACTCGAATATACATTACTATTAAATTATACATTAAATTAAGATCAAAATCAAAATGTCACAGAACGATAAAAGTAATGATCTTGTTGGAATCGACTAAAAATGGCTACCTCACTCTTTAAAAACCTACTTATCGATGAAGCGAATAAGAGATATATAATTACAGTCCTTCAATCAGTATTTGTATGAAAAAAATTATTTTGATAGCATTTAATAATTCAAAGTTGTATTATTAAGATTATATATGAAGATCGTGTATGATAAAGTCTAATTTTATTACAGACGAGTTCATCTGTGATTTCATATTACTTTCAACGTTACCGTCTGAGGATATAAATAAATCTCAAATAGATATTTCATTCAATACACTTTGATCACATTATTTAATCATGTTTAAATTTATTGATTTATTATAAAATTCAAAATACGACTGTAATTGTAAATATGGTATAAAATAGATCTATTACTCGATACATGTTTGTGCAAAACGTTACAAGGACTTAACAGCTACCTTACCATCTTGGTGTTATTCCCAATCTTACCGACTCAGTATAGAAAGAGGTTCCAATGTTCATAATGGTTGGAATTAAAACCAAATTACAAAAAGAAATTACGAACTAGGTATAAAATGCAAATGAAATATAGGATTCGATATTTCTGCTTTATCCTAATTTACAATGAATTAAATTCTACGATGAACTCGCGAGACTTTCTCGTAATTCCTCGAAATTATATAGAAAAATTGCTGGAATTCTATGAAATGAGAGAATGTAATGCAGTGTCAACTCCAATGGATGTGCATGACAATATGAATAACCACGGGAAGAGCAGAAAATGCAAGATAAACCAATATCGAGAATTATTAGCAAAACTCATGTATTTGAATACTTTTGTCTGGCCTGACATCTCATTTCCAGTAGGATGCTTGTCACAGTTTAATCATGATCCAAGAATGATGGACATGAATGAATTGAAGGGGATATTAAGATATTTGAGGGGGAGTATTGTCTTGAATTTGGGAAAGGAAGAGAAACAAATGAAATGTGTTGTGGTGGTCATAATGCTCATGTACCGAACTTCCCTTTCTAAAATATAATATATATTCCTATATATTATATGTTTATTACTAATATTATAACTAATTTTATTAATTAATAGTTTTCGTAGTGAAAAGTAAGCATTCATTAATTTCTCATTTTCGTAAAAGAAACGTATTTGTATTTGCTTCATTGATAACAATAAATATAAGAAACATCGTTTGATATTCTACATCAATATTTAAAGCAAATGGCTATTTCAAAAATGTAGTATTTTCCCGCGAGAAAAATACCTAGCTTGACTGGCCGCAGCCTACTTCCGGTTGGCGGTAAAGCGGGTATACCGGTAACAAATGGTAGAATATATTCGCGCGTCAACGTAAAACATTAAAGATTTTCTCAAAACGTTTCGTGAAGTAGTGATAACTGTAGTGAAGACTGATTGATGTTTTAATTACAAATGAAGAAATATATATTTATGAACAATAACGCGATCTGTCGGATATTAGTTAGTGGCATTGCAGTTGCAGGTTACGTTTGCAACGTTATCCTAATATTTACAAACAGAACACAGCAGAAGTTTAAGAAATTGTGAAAAATTTACGAAGTTCAAGATTACTAACTGTGAACATTTCTTTATTGGTAATATAGTACGTGTAGAAAAAAGTGATGTGACAGTGCCAATCGTATAACGATACATCTGCGAAATGAAGTGGTGCAAGTGTGGGTCGTGTAATGCTATTGCATAGTCTCCAATCATCGAATGTACTAGATTCTAGATTTCAATTGTCCAGTAACATATTTGAATATTTTTACACTCAATAGACAGTTTGTTAAAAGTTTTTCCAACTTTTCTTCAATCTTAACGTTTAATTGCAAAGTAGATACGTATTATCGCTTATAGATTCTAAACTTCGACTGTGGATTAGGATATTTCATTACTCCTGCATAGAATAGATTGTTTTCCACGCAGTAGGGCAATTAGTTCACGATTGAAGACGCATATATGAAATAAAGTGACGGAAAAGAAGGCTCCTGCGAAATCGTACTACACAGTTTACTTTTCTCGCTTATATTTCAGCAAATAAGCGTTCCGGTTAGATTTTTTTTACATACCAGCGTAGAGTGGAATTTTCTCTAACAGGATTGAATACTTTTTTTACGTTTCGCGCATACGTTTTCGAAAAATAGTGCCGAATGTGTTAGTGGGT